TCTCCTCGTCTGAATCCTGAAGTTCGGCAATCTTCCGTAAGTCGACTGCTCGAGGCAAAGTAGTGGTGCAAACGCGAGACAGTGCGTCCGCGACAGGGTTATTCGCACCAGAAATATGACGGATGTCCGACGTGAATTGCGAAATATAGTCTAGGTGACGTAATTCACGCGGTGAATATCTGTCAGTAGTGGTGTGTAAGGCATACGTCAGAGGTTTATGGTCGGTAAAGATGATGAAATCACGACCTTCCACAAAATGACGAAAATGTTTCACTGAGGCATATATGGCGAGCAGTTCCCTGCCAAAAGTGCTGTACCGCATTTCGCAGGTGGATAACTTCCGGGAGAAGAATGCAACTGGGATCCAAGTGTGATCCGAAAGTTGTTGCAACACAGCTCCAATGGCCGTGTTAGAGGCGTCAACCGCAATGCTAAGAGGTAGGTTTACGTCTTGATGCACCAGCATCGTGGCGTCTGCTATTGCGGTTTTGATCTTGCGAAATGCTTCTAGTGCCTCCGGAGTCAAGCTGAAAGTTTTACACTTACTTTTCAGCAGGTCGGTCAGTGCAGTCAAAATGTGCGCACATTGGGGAACGAAGCGACGATAATAGCTCACCATACCCAGAAACACACGCAGAGCTTTAAGTGACGCTGGGACTGGGAAGTCTTGGATCGCCTGTACCTTTTCAGGTAGTGGGCGAATGCCTTGCTCGTCGATAACGTGTCCCAAAAATTTTAGTGAACGAACGCCAATCTGGCATTTGGCCAGGTTGACTGTCATCGAATGCTCTGACAGTCTGGCGAAAACCTGTTTCAAGTGGTTAAAATGAGTGTCTTCGTCTGGACTAGCGATTAGTATGTCGTCTAGGTAGGCATAGGCGAAGTCGAGTCCACGTAAAACATCGTGAATAAAACGTTGGAAGGTTTGTGCTGCATTGCGAAGACCAAAAGGCATACGGAGGAACTCAAAAAGACCAAACGGTGTAATGACGGCTGTCTTGGGAACATCATCAGGATGAACCGGGATCTGATGATATGCACGCGTCAAGTCAAGCTTACTGAAGATAACCGAGCCTTTTAAAGATGCAGTCAAGTCGTGTATGTGAGGGACTGGGTAACGATCTGGAATCGTTTTAGCGTTGAGCCTTCGGTAGTCACCACAAGGCCTCCAGTCCATGCCATTGTTCTTGGGTACCACATGCAAGGGTGAAGACCATGGACTGTTGGATGGTCTGATTATTCCCATTTCAAGCATGTGTTCGAACTCGGCTTTTACAGCACGCAGTTTCTCCGGGGATAATCGCCGTGGTTTCGCAAACACTGGCGGGCCAGTCGTCGTTATGTGATGAGAAACGTTCGAAGTCACACAAGGGACACAACGACTTGGCTTAAAGACATCCGGAAAGGACTGAATGATAGACGCGTAGGGACTAGAAGCGTCCGTCGTGCAGTACACGGGACTGAGGGGCGGCGTCTTTGTGACTATACCGGAAACAGAGAGTGTTGTGGTAGAATCTATCAACTTATGCTTGCCAGCATCTACCAGCAGCTGATAGTGCTGCAAGAGATCCATACCAATAATACCGGTGGTCACATCCGCCACTATGAAAACCCAACGAAAGGGACGACGCAATCCAAGGTTGAGATCGAGGAATCTCCGACCATAGGTTGTGATGGGCGAACCGTTGGCGGCACGAAGTTGCAGAGACATTGGCCGCAGACGCTCTTCCTTCGTAGGTGGGATGACGCTAGCTTCTGCCCCAGTGTCAACTAGGAAGCGTATCCCAGAATGTCGATCAGTGACGAAGAAGAGGCGACATGGAAGTGGCTCGCCAGCGACGTTAGTCGCCGTCACGTGCTGGCTCACACGTTTCCCGCCTGGTTAGCCTCGAAGGTGCAAGGTCGAGTGCACCTTTTGGCATTGGCACCATAACGTTTATGGTACCAGCACAACCTGGGTTGGGATTGTCGCGATTTGGAACGTCTGCTACCGGTACGGGAGGCAGACCTGTTGCGCGAGCGAGACGTGCGACCGTTGGAAGAACTACCAGACCGCATTTCGTTCCTGATGCTGCACAACTCTCATACAATTTCGAGATGTGAGCTATAACATCGAAACTTGTTGGCTCACCAGCCGAGGGAGGATGTGGGTTTTTGGACGAATCCGTGGCAGTAGACAGTGCAGCTGAGATACTAGTGTTGGGTTTCGTAGCATCCACAGCTCTGTCAGCCGCTTCCGCCAGCTCTATTAAGGGACACTTATGGAAGGGTGCGAGGATCCCTTGAACCGACTGTGGTAACCTCTGTAACCACAGTTGCTTGAGAAATGCTTCATCAATGTTGAAGTCAGCAATCAGCTGCTTCATCTGACGAAGCAGTTGCGTCGGCTTGCGATCACCCAGATGCACATCCCTGAAAAGTTCTTGCACTTTCTGCTGGTCAGTAAGTGCAACACGTTTGATGAGGGCGGTTTTGAGGCGATCGTAAAGATTCGGTGCTGGGTCATCTAGCACATCTGAGACGTCTTCGATCACATTTTCCGGTAAGCTGACGATGACTAAGTTGGACTTAGTTTCTTGTGATTGAATGTGTCTCAAGGCAAACTGAGCTTCCACATGGGAGAACCATGCAGATGGTCTGTGGGCCCAGAAGGTGGGAAGCTGGAGGGTTACGGCCATCTGCGCAGTCGAGTCGTTATCCGCCATTGATCAGGGAATTAACGAGGCACGATAGTGATAATAAAAAAAATTACAATGCAAAAATAACCAATGAGGAGTGCAATAATAAAAAAAAACGCTAGACCGTGCCAAAAACAAAATAGGCCAGACAAATCAACGCAAGAGAACAAAGGTACTAGACAAAGTAAGAAGTGATACTCGGGCTCACCAATTTTGTAGGGATGCGTGTTACAATTCCGTAACGTTTGATCAACCCTACTTAATTTGATGTGCTCTAGTACCTGCTTAACCAGTACTTTACCTAACGTGTAAGTACTGATAACAAAACACAAATCAAAAGAACTGATACGCAATGTATTTAAAGGAGCTATGTATTTAAAGTAAATGTAATAATAATGAATGAGGGAAAAGTTTAATCAACTTATCTGGCTTGTAAGGCTGAACTAGGGACTCGGAGTACGTGCGTGGTGATCAGCACAATGGAGCGCAAAAATGGCGTCCAAGCCTGCTCGGATGCATGCTCGTTAAAACAAAACTTAAAACACCCTAAGCATCCGGAGGCAAGCTAGAGATTTATTTAGTTAATTTAATTTAAACTATTTATTTTAGCCCTAGTTATATTTTGGTGCCAGGAAGGTGCACTACAAGCTTATGTGACATCAAAAACGTGCATGGGTCTTTCAATAGTGTGATCTGTTTCAAGTTGGTTTTACTATAAGCAGTCGGTGGTGCTAAAGACCATCTTGGTAACGGAGCAAAGTGTAGGTTTTATATTGATTAACATAAAACTAGTATAGGGACACCTTTATAAGATAAAGACTAAAATTCTGTAAAGTCTATGGTAATTGAAAAATTATACAGACATGCAGAACAAGCTCATGGTCTATGTAACCAATGGTGGACCTTAAGACGTGATGCCAGGTGAAAGTATGAGTGCATAACTATCTCTACTCCCCAACTAAAAAGTTAAGTTTTGGTACAAATAAGGCCGATACAAAGAAATTTCTCGTTTGGGAGCACACGGCTGACATAAAGTAAAATGAAAGAGAATTGTTCGTCCGTTTCATGTGAGAATTAAGTTCTCTCATTTTTATGGAGTGGCCTAGTGTCGGCTGCATATTATCTTTCTGCTGAACTTGCTTATGAAAGTGAATCCAGCGTCTGTTGAACAATAACACTAGCACGTCGGTTTAGTAGCGATAGGGTTTCTGGTAACTGTATGCAAGCTGGTTGCAGGAGTACTTTCTAAGTCGTCCTACTTTCAGGAAATAAGTACCGTATTCTTGTGTTACATGCTTCATTCATGCAGAATGATACTTGGAAAGTGAATATGGTGTCTTAAGAATTCAATCCGGTTAAAACTGGCAGTTTACCTCTTCCTGGGACTAATACGATTATGACACTACCAGGTGACCGACTCAACAGTTTGGAAGGTCACTCTTAACTATTCAACACACAGTACTGCTGCTTGATTTTAATAATGGACAAGAACGATGATCTGACAAGTGAAAGCATTTTCAACCATGAATGCAAACTATTTGAGCTTAAATCACTCACAGATTACTAGTTTAAGGCACTTACTTTCATTTTCAGTCTTCACCCACCGAGTTTGATAGACATTCGAACAATACTAATTGTAAGTCGGTTTTAAATAATGCTGTTGATGGATTCACCAACTTACACAGAAGGAACACAGTCCAGATCAATCCGTCAGCGGGACTGAGTGAGAAATGAATGCCATATGCCAAACTGTGAAACACTGTATCTGTTATGTCGTCAAAATACACAACTCCTGCATCATAGTTCTAAGATTCTGTGTATATTGACTTACTAGGGGAGTTGTATCAACCCGATTGGATTAGTTGCTGACAAATTATCAGATTGAACACAAAGTGACTGTTTGGAGTTTGCCAACTTAAGCCAGTTACGGTGCCGACGAAATACACGATAACACAAAAGGACAAGTATACTTCGTAGCATTGTACCCTACCCTATTTTACGGCTGAGCTATGGACCATGCAAACAGGAGACATTGAGAGGTTACTGGTCTTTGACTACAAGTGTCTTCATAGCCTAGTATGGTGGAATCACCGTGTGAGCAGAGTCGAGGTTAGGAGGAGAGCATTGGGCAAGAAAGGGAATTCAGTCGATAATTCTGCGAAACTCCACTGATTGAGATGACTTGGCTGTGCTGCACACGACAGATCACCACCTAACATGATGTGCAGTGTAAACCGAAGGGGTTCTAAAAAAAAAGTAGTAATGATCTGTTGCAATGATATACCATATGGACAAAATAACAAGAAAGAATTTGTTTTTGTTGTGGGAAATTACATATATTTGTAATCAAACGAGTCGTCATCGAGAAAATATTCCAGTGTAAGCAAAGTGACCAACTAACTTATTCGTCTTCAAAAAAATTCAAACAGAGATCACACCACAACATAATGAAAGACAATAGGCTTCAAGAAAAAGAAGGGATCATTCATTGTGATAAAAAATGATTAAACATAGAATAAAAAGTCACATTATTGTCATTATCAACATTATGCGAACAAATCTTCATCTTCCTCATCAATCACCCTAGATGGGTCAAATTTACAGTCATTCCCATTCACTGGATTGGTCAATTTGGGAGAAAATGGCTTACACTTCAAGTAATCAGCCATTTGAGAAAGTAAACTCTTAGTTCCGACTCCAGATAACATTTCATTAGCTTCTTGGAAAAGAGCATCAGCTTTCTCCGATACCAACATCTGAGCAGCTTGTATGATCTCTTTGGCGACACGTTTGGATAAAAATTGGGCCATACGACTGGTAAGCTCAGAAGCACTAGCACATGCTACATCTTTCAAAGTACAGTAACCTAGACTGTACAACTGTCGTGCTCTGGTCTGTCATTAAAAATAGTTAAAAGTAAGTAAAACCATTATTAGGGATCGAATGAAAAGCAACGGAAAATAATAGGGCTCTTAGTTGCACAGCATGTTTAGCTGTTTGCTTCCCTGTGCTTAACCATAAGTGCTGTGAGGCATCATATTTGAAAACAGACTATAGAAAAACTGTTAATTAGGATTAACACCTAAACTGACTACTGATCAGTTATTACATTTTTGTTTTGCTCAGAAAAACACCCTCTACAACTAAATAGACTCCGATCATAACATGTGAGCTGTTTCCTATACGAAAAGTGACTGGTGTGCTTTCTATCTCAGCTAAAATAACCGTTTTCTTTCTTTCTTATCTGACCATTGTATTAGATATGTCGTTTTTGTGTTCTAAAAACAAATAAACTTTCAAATCGAGTTTGCTGGATAGCCTAAGCCCTAATTCTAGTCAGTTAGTATTAAACGAGGGAATCAAGACATCTGAAGGTAAAAAGTAAATCCTAGAAAAAAAGAACTTTGGGTGTTCGATTTCTCATGTGTGGCGAGGGAATAGCCATGATATCAAAGCTAAAAGTTATGCGTAGAGTTTTAGAGGAAACTGTTAACATACTCAGATAGAGAATTATGAAGTAAAGTGAAGAAAGGTCTATATCCTTTAGACTAAAGCTTGAATAAATTCACGAAATTAATTGTCAGTTTAAGGTGAGTAACAGATATAGGCTTAATGACTATGATTCAGCGAATATCAGCGGTTGAATACTCTAGAAATCTATATTTTATACTCCAAACAACAGTCACAATGAAGCAGATACACCCAAACGACATGTCTTCTTCTGAATATTGAACATACCACTATTGTCTGTTTGTTCGAGCCCGATCCCATCATTTCTTCCCTTTGTTCATTTTCATAGCTTCTATAGCGAATGATCCTCTTTGGGTGTTATTGAAAATTATGGCAACAACAACCAGTGAAAATTTGCCGGCGATTTTACGCTGTCGTATCTACTTATTTTGCCGCATATTAACAGATTTTTTTATTTGATCAGAATCACTATGCGAACGAGTGACGCTCAAACAGAGCAGACACAACGAGATTATCCATCAATTAATCAATATTCAATTATATGTCGGAATTGAGTTGAAATGTATTCAGCAACCTTGTGGGCATTCATGCAGTAGGCGATGAGTCCCATCTATTGTGTGAGGGCAAATGATACCTGGTTTCCCAAACCTCGGTAGGCGGAGTGGGGTTTGAACTCGTGACCCATTGGTTGAAAGTCATCTCTCTAGACCTATAAACCATAGTTCCGGTTACATACATACCAGACAAGTAGCTGGTGTTGGATTAGAAACCTTGATCATGGGTAACTATTGTTTCGAAGTTAAGAAGCAGTAACTGAGTCATAAAACTCCAGAAAGCATCTCTTCAAAATATTTAAGGTAGCGAAAGCAGCTGGACATATTTCCATCACAGTGATGTCAAATAATGGATATTACCGTGTCGGAAAAAGGATAAAAGTATATTATGGAGTGATGACTTCTGAATTTTCTTTTATGCGTTGAACACTTCCAGGGTTTTTCGAATACTCTACAATATTAGTTTGCATTCATATGGTGGGGCATGAACTATCTTGTTGGATTAAGAAACCGGACTTGATTGTGTCAGATGTATACCGACGACATTCAAATACAGGTTCATTGAGTAAACAAACGATGATGCTAAGCTTTCAGCATGTAAAGAAAGTTTGAGTTCGACTCTACCAAGAATTTTGAACACGTTGATTAATGGCTAAAACACAACACTTAACAACTGATTGTTACTACCTACAGAAAAACGCTTGTACGTGATAGAACTAATAGGATGAAGTAGCATTACAGTACAACCCACACCACTGAAAGTTGTTCATTAGACAGTACGATCGTTATTGAAACAAACAATTTGTAAGCCACAAATAAGTAGCTATGTAGGGCTATGTGAGTAACCACCAAGCTATCTTTCTTGAGAAAATAACACTGGGAGTTTTGAATAACCTAGCAAAATTCTAGTGAGTTAAAAGTGTTTTAGTTAGAAACAGAATAAAAAAAATATGGCTAGTGGATTCGAGCTCCACAGAGAGAGAAAGGGATTCCCACCACGATATAGATGAAGGGTATGAATCAAAGCGAAATGTACGTTTTTACGTGTGACTGTAGTCGATACCTCTACTCGGTTTCAAAGAATGGCATAAACACCCTTTACAGCATAAAAAAGCGATCGAGTTAACTTCAGAACTAGAAAAATGATTATCAAGAACACGCAATAGTAGAAATTTAGACATTTTAAGCTATCCACTCGTGAGCAATTGCGGATCAAATTGCAACGCTACCCTGAGCTATGCATCATCATCAAAGAACAGAGTATAGAATGACAGTCAACTCAACTCTACCTCAACTTCATCGATTTTCAAAAGGCCTTCAACAGCGTCGACCAACAATTTATTTGGCAGGCAGCTGCTTCAACACTACGGTTTCAGTGTCACAAACCTTCATCAACCTCATTCAACAGCTATATGCTATGTGATGCCATATGACAAGTGATTCACAGTGGAGAGCTCAGTGACGCCTTTGAAATGAAGACAGGAGTAAGACAAGGTTACCACCTACTATCACCAATCATCTTCCTGATTATGGTCGACTGCACTGGATCATGCAGCAAACCGTGAGGAGCAACAAGATAAGCATACGGTAGCTGGACCGATGAAAAGACCACAGAAGAAGATTTGGATTTCGCCACCGATGATGATGATTTACGTCTAATGTCTTGTCACACAAACTCGATGATCTACAAGCGAAAACCGACAAGCTGGCACAAGAGGCTAGGCAGCGAAGAGGGGACTTCAAGTGAACGTAGAGAAGACAGAGGAGGTGAAGATATGCAACCAATAACAGCATCGATAACAAGCACCAATCACCATTAACGGAGAAACCTAAAGGAAGTAGCCTCTTACACCTACCTAGGCAGCACTGTTTCAACTACACGTGGCACAGACGAGAACGTCAAAACCAGGATAGGAAAAGAAAAGCAAGACAAAGTTTCATTAATCTGAAATCAGTGTGAAGATCTTCTGCACTCAGCATGTGGAACAAGATCTGGATTTTCAACACCAACGTCAAGTCAGTGCGACACAGTCATGCCACAGTAATGATTGAAATTGACCCGTATAAAAAGATGAAAGAGCCACTAGATCGTAGCAGCTTCTGAATTACTGGATGTAGAAGAACACATTCTTGTACACTCTGAGTACAATATACGGCGGCAGCAACCTAAATGTGAACTAACATTGTGTATACGATAGCCCTGACTGATAGCTGTCACCTAAACGTGATGATTGGCCTTCCATATCACAATAATCCAACAAGCCACACTAGCTGAAATGCTTGTTCTCCTGAGGTCATACAATACCAGAAAATTCTTTTGGACAGTTGTAAGACGAAAAACAGTTACTGTTGTAGTGTAAATTACTACTGGCTAACACACAAAATTAACGTAGAATCTCGCACACAAATCCAACGGTTCAGGTTGCCACACTTCACAGCAGTACACAAAGAACAGGTAGATAAAATAGAGTTATGTCAAAGTAGACAAGGTTGTATGAGAGAATGAACGATTTGAAGATAACGGTTAGTGGAAATATTCAAGCTTTAGAAGACGTCAGAGAGTAAATATATCTGCGCCATCGCGATCAAATCTAAGCCATATCACCGAGAGTCCTCAATCACTGATTTCTTTCGTTTCGGCAGCCCCAACCAAACAGTCTGCATCTCGTCATACGACTCAGATTAACAGTCAGAGACTTCATAGACTTGGTGTTAGATCTTGGTCTGGCCACCATGAATCCTCTTCCAACATCCTATAGGGTTGCGGTGGTTCAGTATGCACAACACATGTCCAAGCCTGAATAGGATGTAGATGTCGGTCCTCCAATTCTTCTTAAAGTTGAGAAGGCTGTGACAAATCTGAAACGATGTAAACAAACAGGAACTGACAGTTTGCCACCCGACGTTTTCAAGGATAGAGGTACGGAATTGCTGATTAAAGTTACGGATACACTCAGAAGTAAATGGATATCATACATAGTCCTGTCATACTAATCTAATTTATTGATCATCCTAGTCTAAAACAAAGGCGAGAAAGTGTGACTGTGAAGGGAGTACCGACAAGGTATATAACACTTATCAAAGCTCTCTACTGGAACTCACGCAGCCGTGTGACGCAATGGCTTATAGAGAGTTGTCATGTGGATTGACGACAGCTGGTGCTATTCGCCAGGGATGTCCACTGTCACCGTTCCTATTCAACTTCGTACTAATAGACATGACCTTAGGTACGTGTGACTTCACAGGGATTGATCTACTCTCTGGAGAGCAGGCATCTGATTGACTTGGAGTATGCAGACGATATTGCTTGATAGGAGAAGACACTGACAAAATTGCAAGGTCTTGTGAACGCGTTGAGGAGAAATCTGAGTATGTTCGGCATGCGTTTCTCTGGTACCTGTCAAATGTTGGATGACACTTCAGGACTGATCTGCTTCAAATACTCTCGGTATGATGATAAGAAGTGAAGTGAAGTGTTAAAATGTGTCGACCACTTCCCTTACTTGAGTAGTTGTATCAGCCCAAACGAGCTGGTTGTTAACGAAATCTCGGCTCAAATACGTGAGGTCCACTCGGCATTTACCAACTTGCATCACCTTTGGCGCCGAATGACAAGATATGCAACTGTCTATGGAAGGAGAAGTATAGTGCACTGCAGTCTGCTCTGTCCTGTTATACGGCTGTGAGACATGGCCTTTGAAAGTAGACGACGTGAAGCAGTCACGAAGCATTGATCATGGGTGTCTTTGTAGCATTGCTCGTGTTTGGTGGAATCAGCGTGTGAGGAATGTTGAGGTCAGGCGAAGGGTAATAGGTAATAGGCAAGAAACGTAAGTCAGCCGGTGAGGTTGTTAACCTTTATCGACTGTGGTAGCTTGGACGTGTGTTGTGCATACCGATCCACCGCAACTCCTTTAGGATGTTGTAAGAAGATTCATGGCGGCCAAACCAAGATCTGACACTAAGTTAATGGAGTCTGTGACTGTTGGTCTGAGCTGTCTAGTTCGGGCCCCCGAGACGAGGTGAGGACTCCATGATATGGCTGAGGTTCGATCGCGATGGCGCAGATATATTTACTCTCTGACGTCTTCTAAAGCTTGAATATTTCCACTAACCGTTATCTTCAAATCGTTCATTCTCTCATACAACCTTGTCTACTTTGACATAACTCTATTTTATCTACCTGTTCTTTGTGTACTACTGTGAAGTGTGGCAACCTGAACCGTTGGATTTGTGTGCGAGATTCTGCGTGGATTCCTCTCTCTCTCTCTCTCTCTGTATATGCTATAATCGCGACGAGTGGTGGCGCAAAGACTAGTGAGATGAGAAATGCAGTAATGTAAGGCAATGGTAGACAGCTGTTTTGTCTGGTCAAGGCAACTGGTGCAAAAAATCCACTGCTTGCTGAAATTATGTTGGAGAGGAATATATTTATGATTCACCCAATGGATAGACGACTGGAGCGATCGGCGGAATAGTGCAACTGACCACTACCTATGGTTCTGTTTATTATTATCTAGTCGGATTGAACTTCGAATATTTAGACAAGCCCTTCTACTCTTGCAGAAGTTGGGAAGGCTGTTAGCAAATTGTAAAGAGTGGCGTCAGCAGGCCTACATGGATTATTATAAGAGATACTCAAAGATGGTGGTGGATAAGCATTGTTCTCCTTAGCTAGTGTTAGCTATTATTTAAAGATCAGATAATATCGCCTCTGTTGAGTCTCAATCACTGATTGTTTCCATCTACAAGAAGGTCGAGAAATCATTCTGTGAGGATTCAGAAACTTAGCGCTTTACAAAAGGGTTTTCCAACAAACTACAGACACTCATCAACAGCTGTCACCTACGCTCACTCGATACTGAAGATCAGATCAGATGGCCAGAAAGAATAAGCGACAAGGAACTCTGGCTGGCAAAGAACCAACCAAGAACCTATGGCTCAACAAATATGCAGCAGGAAGTGGAGATGAATTGGGCATGCACTGAGAAGACCATTTGGGGACATCACGTGCCAGGCCAGGCCGTCGAGTGGAACTCAGATGGGAAACGACGAGTTGGGCGTCCGTGGCGAGGGTGACATGGAGGAGATGGTGTGAGGAAGAAATGAGAGCTTGTGAGCAGTCATGGAGCCAGGTTCAAAAGTTTGAAGAGAACGAACAGAGTGGAATGGAGACGTGCTACTGAAGCCCTATGTTCCACTAGGAACCGAAGGGGAGAAAAAATAATACACGCGTTTACTGTACGTGAGAGACGATATCCACATAATATCAAATGTGAAGAAATCAATACGCATACCCGTTTCACTCCCGGCAACTCCATTAGAGGCAGTAATTCACTAGAAACACAATAAGCCAGTCTTGTAGCGAATTCCGGTAGTAGATGGGCAAATGCCCATAATTCTGAATCAGTTGAAAATTCACTACCTAATGCATGCGCCAATGAATTAGCCATTGATGCAGCTGAAGTTAGCATAGATTGAAGAGCGCCACGTGAAAATTTGTAACGTTCAGCCACAAACCATATTGGGAAAGTTGATCTATTATGCCATAATTCAGCAAGAGCTAAAGCTACATACAACCGACGAAGAGGTCGTTCATCTAGTTTCTGAAAGGTGAAAAAGGATTAAACAACATACTTTTAATCATGATTAACAAAAACCGTTAATATGCGCAAAGATGATATCCAGAATAACCCAGAACAGTAGTGAATAATGCATACTTAATACAAGACTGAATCCTTCGTTTGAAAGATGATAGTTTGAAAAGCAGCTGGAGCCAAGTCGCTTATATAGTGTTCCTTGTATCAACCTTTGGAAATTAAGATATGAAAAGTATGCAACAGATAAACGAGATAAAAATGCCAGATTATGTTTTAAAGTTGAAACATATATTCAGTTGAATAAAGAAAATGTTTGTTATTGAACGATGAGATCCATGTGTATAGCTGTGAATGGTTCTAATATCCACAAATATCACTGGTGATGATGACTACAGGATCCCATAAAATGTCAGCTCAAAGAACAATTCTATCGGAACAAGTATTTGTAGATATGTCACAAGGAAAAACCAATTCGTTCGTTATATTTCTCATTGGAAAAATTAATACGTAGATTATACGATTAAACGGAAAATACCTACTCGTTTTATAGAATGGCCAGTTGCTTTCCATAAAATATATCCCTCAGGATATCCCAGAAGACTAACTAGATTCGTCTCGTTCTCTGGCATAAGATTGACACGATCGAAAAGTACACTCCAGTCGATTTGTATGGTGTCCACAACTTCAGGCGGTGCAATTAAATACAGTAAATGCAATGGACCACTGGTATTAATCGCTCTTGCTGCCATGCGTAAATCTGATATCAAGGATCCAATGCGATCTGTATCAATTCCACCTTTCACTGATGCTCTGCCTAATTTAGTTGCCTATAGCAATTTAAAAACAATCACAAAAACAAAAACAGGATGAATAAAAGATGGTTTATGTACTTAGGTCACTTTAACTTCTGCTATAACAAGGATAACCCATGAATATTAAGGATTTTTTGGAAGGGTGACTGTAAACAGCCTACATAACATTCATTGAGTCCGTCAGCAATTAGTGTCCACAAATAGGCTAAACGTCTGAATTATAGAGTAGGAAATTTAGCACAAAGCGACACACGCACCCGTTCTCAGTAGTTCGTCGTTGAAAATGGTGGGGATGTACACATATTTATTTCAGACATTACTTTCGATAATTAGGACCTAGTAGAATAAATCATTTTTCGTGTGTCAAAACGAATGAAGTATATGCTGGCTTGTACTATTTGAGCTGCCATCAAAACCATCTGGAAGTAAACGTTTGCAGATACACTGCTTCTAAGACTGAACACCTGCGTTGTGCAACTACGAAGCTTAGTCATTCAAATTGAAAAATCTTCAGCAGTTTTGTAAGGAACTACCTCTATTACCATAGAACCAGCTTCAGCTAGTAAAATACAATGCACAGAGTGCTGATGCCAATGAGCATACACCATTCCATAATGAAAAGTTATTCAATAGACAAAATCAATTCGAAACATCTGGTTCAATAGCTTATACATACTTCACGTGCAACATTCTGACGGATACCTAGCCTATCAGATGTTTTGATGGTGTTCTTGTGACTCTGTTGCTAAATCATCAACGGAGATGGGTGGTACATTATCTTATAGTTGTATACAAGGTTCAAAGAGAGTTGTAAAGTATATGCATGAACTCCGTCCTGTTTATGTCCTTACCATTTTCCAGACCTTGACGTGGTAGTCGGGTTTGCATATCACAATCACCCAATGAGATATACTGACTGGACTGCTTGTTCTCGAGGTTCTACCATACCAGAAAAGTTTTTTGGATAATAGTAGGATGAAAAGTGCTTACAATAAGGTGCAGATTTGTACGCTATGATGGGGTCCGAGGGCGAAGTTGTACTGCTGGTTGGACGGAGTGTGCCAGCAGTACGGTGTTTCCCTTGGATGACCATTAAAGGGATGCTGATGCTGACTACCCTACAGGGAGAAAGGTTTAGGAAAGGTTGGCCCCCAAAACAGTACAATCCCACTACCCTGCAGCATGCCAATGAGGGCCACCTGGATTCATAGTCACATTCAAAAGCAACAAACAAAAACTTGAAACTTGCAAAAAGGCCCTATGTGACCGGCCTCAAGCAGATGTCCCATTGGCTCTGCGGTCACGAACTCATTCTTCTTTTTTAGGAACCTCAGGAAGAAATAGCGTTCCACAGTGTAAGCAAACGGCAAGTATCAGCTACCCACACGCTTTCATTAGTAAACAAAATCTAATCAAACATAACCTACCCTCCTCAACTCTGTCTCCTTAACCTTCTTCTGATACCAATATTAGGCCTCTTACCACTTTCTCAGCCTTTCACTGTACGACCACTGCCAATGATTCAAGTCACAGAAACCTCGTTTCCAGTTTCCTGACACCTACTGTCAGCTTCATTTTGGAACTCTCAATATCCGAACCTTGTTTCAAATCGGACAGAAGGCATCGTTCACCACTCTGGAATCTCTAGCCATGGATGTATGCTGTCTCTGAAAGGCGCATGAAGTACTCGATTGTGGTTATTGAACTGATCTCACCTGACCATTCCAATGAATCTTCAAAATTCATCTGACAAGTGTCCGGAGATTCAACGGCTAGATCTTATGGACTCCATGGTGTAGGTATAACATTAATTTTTAGGGTAGGAAGCGCACTTCTCACTTAGATACCAGTCAACAGCCATCTATATACTGTTCGAATGAATGGATCTGTTAGAACTAGGAAGGATCGCGAAACTAGCCGATGCCTAATCGTAATTTCCGCCTACGAGCCCACCGACGGCAGTTCGGATGATGCAAGGGTGAATTCTATGAAAAGCTGTCAAAATTTGCTACAGAAAGCTCCACGTTCAAAATGTCATCATAAAAGTACGTGACTTCAACACTCACGCAGATCCAATCGGAAGGAAATTTGGGAGGTATCAACGGGATCTCATCCCAAAAACCGACGATGGCGATCGTCTGTTGCAATTTTCTTCTGACAAGCACCATCTTCAAATGGCATCCACCGACACGAAGCCAACGATGGATACAGATAAATCATATTATTATAAGCCATCATTGCAGAGGGTAGTCGGAGGATTGACGCCCTTTATAGGGTACCTGCTTGAACTCTGATCACATGTTAGTACGGACATCTGTGTAGGCATCTTACTGGTTGCATGAGATAAGTGGCAGTGAAGCCGGCATGTGCTCGATCGGAAGATGAGACTGTAAAGTGCGTATTTAGAAGGGAGATAACAAAGCATCAATCTGAAAATGACAGCAATCTTTATCCTGAGGAAACCTGTCGCAATATTCAGTCTGTTGTAGAAAAAGCGGTAGAAACAGTCGGCAACCTACATCGAAAAGTTACCAAACATCAGTGGATTTGTGCAACCTCTTTTGAACTGATTGGTGCAAGAATACTCATTCCAGCATGCTCTGACAACGATGAGGAGTGAAAGCAGCTGAAGCTTAAATTAACTAAGTCTTCGCTCGTAATGATCACGAGTAGCGGGGGTGGTGAGAGCAAGAGAGATGGTGAAGACATCTGTATTAGGTAACACTGAAACTTTTTACGGCTATTAAGGACAATAGCAAGAGGAAAATGGTGAGCGAGACCATTACCGAAAAGGATGGGACCCCGATACCCTCCAAGAAAGATGGCCAGAATACTTTGAAACATAGTTTGACTGGTTCACAGCAACGCTGCAGTTGCTCAGTATTCATCCGGAACCGGAGTAGGATGTTGATGTCAGTTCCACAACTTCTCAGGAAGTTGAGAAGGCTGTTTCGAGCGTGAAACAATGCAAAGCCGCAGGACATGACGGTTTTCCCAAAAAGTTTTTAAATGGAGACAGGAAACTGCTAATCAGGGTAACAGAGGCACCGGGTAGTGTGTGGAAATTAGAGGTAGTCCCGCCAAATTGATCTTACTCACTGATCATTGCGCTACATAAGCAGGGATAGAGGTCTTCTTGTAACAACCAGATGAGAACTAGTTTAACTAATATCGTGTGCAAGATCCTTGGGTCTATAGAGATCCGATGCTGAACTCTAGAATACCAAACCAAAGAGAAACAGGTGGATTTCAGACCTGGATGAAGGCACATCAACTAGATTTTCACTCTTCGATATGCTATGGAACACAGACATACATACCGTCCAATGGCCGACACTCGCCATATTTCTTGACCTGAAGTCAGCCCTCGACATTGTCAAAAGAGAGGTGTTGTGACAGTATCCGACTGTGAAGGGAGTACCGAGTAAGTACATAACGCTAATACAAGCTCTTTACTCGAACTCACGCAGCCGTGTTAAGGTTTACGGAGAGTTGTCATCAAGCTGACGACAACCATGGGTGTCCATCGGGGATGTTTACTGTCACCGTTCCTGTTTAGTTTCATTGCATACGTACTAATGGACATAACATAAAGTACGTCTGACTCCATACGGATTGATCTACTCTCTGGAGAGCAGGCATCTGATTGACGTAGATGATACTGTCCTGCTAGGTGAAGATGCTGACGCAATGTAGAGTCTTGTGAACGCGTTAAGAAGAAATCTGAGTATGTTTGGCGTGAGTTTCTCTGGTACCTGTCAAATGTAAGATCACACTCCAGGACTGATCTGCTGAAAGTACTCCCAGTATAATGACGGTGAGTGTAATAGTCGAATATACCGACCACTTCGCTCACTCGGGGAGTTGCGTCAGACCAAACCGATTGGTTTGGTAGCATTGCTCACATATGGTAAAGTTACCATGTGAGCAATGTTGAGGTCAGGTGCAGGATACTCAACAAGAAAGGTAAATCGGTCAGTGACGTTAAGGAACATTCAGAGACTGTTATGGTTTGGAAATGTATTGCGCATGTAGAACCACCACCTACCTTCATATGCAATACTAGGAGAAGTTGCATTAGGTTGGAAGACGGTTGAGGGAGGAAGGGGGGCAAACCAAGACGTAGTAACAAGACATGAAGTCTCCTACTGATATAATCTGACCCTGGATGTTGTCCTTGAGACCATAGGAACCAGTGGCTACAGACACTTGGTGAGATGGCTCGAAATCGGTCACAATGGTGCGGGGTGAATTCACTCGTTGACACCTTCTAGAGCTTGAACATTTTCGCTAACCTTTGTCTCCAAATTGTTTCTTCTCTCATACATCTTTGTCTACTTTGATATCAGTCTTGTTCTATCCACTTGGTCTTATCACGCTATTGTGAAATGTGGCAACTTGAACCGATATACTTGTGTGCGACGTTCTAAGTTGATTCGTCTACTTCTGTTTCTGTCTATCAGATGATGTCAGAACTTCGAATTCAGAGCACTGTGTTGTTCAGATTAATTCTTCTGCGGTCTTCACACAAGTTTTTCCATCTATCCCTATACCAGTCAACATCAATATGGGACCTGGCAATAGTGTCAAGACGCAGGTTGCCACACATTACCTCATATCAACACATCAAAGCAAAAGGCACTATGACGACAGGTACACAAATAAGGAGGAAAATAACCAAACTGACAGGAAGTCGTCAAAACAGGGACAAAATGAATCAATCAATAGTGAAATGCAACATAACGTCTAGGATGAAAATAGCATGTGGGTGTGTCTGCGTCATTGAGGTCGATTCCCAGATGTATCATCTGGAGTCTTCAACCACCAATTTCGGCTGTCACACGAGTCCCAACCAGAAACTATACATGGTTATGATCGACAAAGATCTTATGAATGCGCGCTGTTTTTTTTATTCCAGTCGCCTCGAACGTCTGTCAAGTGTGAACCAGCTTCAACTAGTACTGCGCAACTGCGTAGACAGTGACTGGGTCTGAGTAGCATATGTCCCAGTTCACCTATTCTACCTAAAACTATACACCTCACTACTGCGTTACTGACGAGGTGATCGTATGACACGCACCCACTGCTACAAAGGCAACAATGATCGGACATCTGAAACCTTCGTATCTCCACTTTTAACCACTATGCTTCACAGTCTTATGGTAGAACAGAGCGAACTGCGAAAAAGTACACTTGACCTTTAATGGGCAATCGGACGTCTCATCACCGCCACAAACGGATGGTACAGGTTGGCGACAGCCAGTCGAGCTCTTTTATCCATGCTGAGATTTCATCGGTTGATTGCCAAACAGCGCTGACCTGAATTCTCAGGTAAGTGAAGTGGACAACGTGCTCAACCACTTTATTCCTGTATGCTAGATGAGGCCCAAACACAGACCAGTCACGGAGCAATAATTTCAACATGGGTGATGGAAAACTGATCCTAAGCATTCTCCAATTGCCACTTAAGGTGTCCAAAAGACTCGATATCTTCACCTAGCAGGATAATGTCACCTGTGTATTCTAGGTGTACTAAGGAGTCTTCTGCGACGCCAATCTCTGTAAAGTCAAACGAGGACATCTAAGTTATCAGTGGGAAATTGTTGCTGAGACTATTCAAGATAGCTGCGGTTCAGAAGATTGACTGAATTTAAAATCTGAGTTGAATTCAGAAATTACTGGTTCAAATCGTACTGCGTACTAGATTTACGCTTTAACTGTGATCATCGCCTTATCACATAAAAAGCAAAACAAGTTAAATGTAAATAAACGAAGTGCATTAATCTCGAAACTATGATTGGAGTTCAAAGGAAATCGAAATCATTATCAGATTTACATCATAGACCTTCAAGATTGTCTATTTGATAATTGAACATTTGATTTGAAAAAAGAGATGATAATTAATTTTGAATATGATTTCCATAACGAATTAATACAATCGACTATCATACGGGTTGAAGAAGTTCATACGTTTACATTTTGCTACACTTGATTCACAAGTCATGTCTTCCAGTAAATATTTAAATCGGAAACAACTATTGACTACAAATAAGGTCTTTCTTCTAAACCAAACAATCGAAGCCAACCCACACAGTGTGAACTATGCAATCACATCTAGTTTTATTGCAATGCCAAAGAACATTTATTCCAGTTAAAATGTTTTTATTTAATTTGTTTATAGCATACCTGGAATCGAGCTTTCTCCAACTCAACGGTATTTCCTGAAACGGGTGTTGTCTTGCTTAGAAAGGCATTGACGGATACAACAACGATAAGCTCCATTTCAACCAAGGTGTTTAATGCAACGCGAACTAGATCTTCAAAACTTCCATGCTGATATAATCGAGACTGAACAGCCAATAAGGTTTTCTCACATGCCCATAGGATATCTGAGTAGGTAACAGCTAGCTGCACGATTAAGTATTGTACGACACAAATTAGTATATCAATAAACTAATTTGGGTTTTTAATTCAAAACCTCTAAGGGGATGATAATTTTAAGTGTATTTAACCAGACTTGTTCACATTTTGTATATGCTACACAAAAAAAGTGATTTCGCACACGGTTATAATAAAAATATAAGTAATAATGAATAAAGGATAAACTTAAGCATGGGGTTAATGAAAAGGTAATGAATCTTCACAAAACACTGACTGGTTATGAATATGCTTCATCAATCTGTGAGTTGCTGGAGAATTTGATAGGAAAAGTTTCGATATACCAAGAGTTCCATCGCTGCTTCAAACTTAACATAATTTGAGTGGTCAAATAATATCCTTGTCTCTTAACGTAGTAAGTATGGAAATTTAGTTGGTTGTGGTTAGCAGACGGATCCAGGACGCACGTCTCATCATATTTGCGACTCGTCAGCTGGGTGTAATCTGGACCCCAGTGAGTGATTTTGTTCTTACTGAGACTCGAATCTTGTACCCATCGCAACTTAAAAATAGACTGACGAAAAGTCTGCGCAACGATCGTGAACAGTGGTGGGCAGCGAAGGCTAAAGAGATGGAAAAGGCAGCGGCGATCGGTAACAGTAGACAGTTATTTAGACTTATTAAGGAGACTGGGGGGAAATGGTCAACAACAGTTAGTGAGGCTATAGCGGAGAAGGACGGATCTGCGATTCACTCGCAGGGAAGGCGACTGGGACGATGGGCAGAACACTTCGAGGAACAGTTTAACTGGCCTCCAGCCACCATTGCGCTGCCCGCTATCCAGTCGGACCCTGAATGGGACATAGAGACAGGTCCCCCAACACTAGAAGAAGTCGAGAAAGCGGTAGGTAGCCTGAAACGGGGAAGGGCAGCAGGACCAGACGGACTACCTGCTGAGGTATACAAGAATGGTGGTAGAGTTCTCTTAGTCAGGCTAACGGAAGTGTTAGCCAGTATATGGGAATCAAATACGATCCCCTCCGACTGGTCTAAGTCACTGATCATCCCAGTCTTCAAGAAAGGCGAGAAGTCCTCTTGTGATAACCACAGAGGAATCAGCCTGACAAACATAGTGTCTAAGATCCTAAGTTCTATAATTCTCCGACGCCTGAGTGGAGCTCGGGAACAGCAAGCCCGAGAAAACCAGGCAGGCTTTAGACCTGGCCGTGGATGTATCGACCAAATATTCACACTGCGCCAGGTCCTGGAACATAGGCATGCTTACAGACGCCCGACAATAGCTGTATTTCTCGACCTGAAGGCGGCATTTGACTCCGTTGATCGAGAAGTCTTATGGCAGTGTCTGTCACTGAAAGGCGTGCCTAGTAAGTACATCACCTTATTGAAAGCTCTCTACTCGAACACTTGTGGGCATGTTAGAGCCTATGGTGAGTTGTCCAGGGAGCTATACTCATCAAGTGGTGTCCGTCAAGGATGCCCACTATCCCCATTCTTATTTAATTTTATCATAGATATTCTTATGGAGGTTTCCCTCTCGTCACCTAATTACACAGACGTTGACCCGATCACAGGTGAATTTTCTTTAGATCTAGAATATGCAGATGACATAGTCCTGTTAGGTGAAGACGCTGACAAGATGCAGAGTCTTCTGAACACTTTGAGTGGGAATTTGAGAATGTTTGGGATGCGATTTTCACCACCCAAATGCAAATTTTTGCTCCAGGACTGGTCTTCAGCGGTACCGCGGTTAACAATAGAGAGTGAAGTGGTTGAGTGTGTTGACCACTTCACTTACCTGGGAAGTAGGATCAACCCGGTGGGTTAGTTGCCGATGAGATTTCTGCACGGATACAAAAGGCTCGATTGGCTTTTGCCAATTTGCGCCACCTATGGCGCCGCCGTGATATTCGTTTGTCTATTAAGGGTCGCGTGTACTGCACAGCAGTCCGCTCTGTTCTACTGTATGGCTGTGAAACATGGCCATTGAAAGTGGAGGATACAAAAAGGCTTCAGGTGTTTGACCACCGTTGCCTTCGTAGTATAGGACGTATTCCGTGGTGTCACCATGTGAGTAATGCAGAAGTTAGGTGTAGAGTTTTGGGGAGAAGAGGTAAGTCAGTTGACGAGGTTGTGAACCTTCATCGACTGAGATGGTTGGGACACGTACTACGTATGCCTAGTCACCGATTGCCTCGTCACACAATGTTGGCTGAGGTGGGTCCAGGCTGGAAAAAGGCCCGAGGTGGCCAGACTAAAACATGGCACCAATGTATGAAGTCTCTGACTGTTGGTTTAAGCCATGTAGGACGATGTAGACTAGGACAAGAGGAACCAGTGGTTGGAGACCCTAGGTGATATGGCTCAGAACCGAAGTCAGTGGCGCAGATGTATACACACATTATCCTCATCTTAACAACGCTATACCGAATCTCACCATTTTGTCACTCCTCTTTCTTTTCTTTTCGTACTTTATATTTCTTTTGACTGCATTCACTTATCTTCATCCTTCACCTCACTACCTTTTTACTTGATGTGCTGATATGAGGTGTGGCAACTCGGACCGTTACGCAGTAATGCCTGGTCCTATGTTGATAATGATGATGATGATGATGACCATCGCTTCAAACGCCAAGGCATTATCCACTATGCCACGGAGGAACGATAGCCACTTCTTGTACAACAGATAGTAGTTATTACTATTTATCGACATACTTGCAACTCTCCGTTGTTTTATTAGATCGAATTGTTCGACCTCGATATTACCTGAATGTTAATTATGGTAATTTAGTTGGTTGTGGCATCCGCATAGGAGCCCATGAGCCGAGAGAGGTCGAACAATTCAATCCAATAAAACAACGGAGAATTACAAGCATATCAATAAATAGTATTGATAGGTATGCTTGACAACTTAGTGCACCAACCTGAAGTAAGTCATTGCGTTTCAATTGTATTTCTCATATCGCCTATTACTGTTTGATTTATCCTAATGACATGACACAAGAGAACAATTCAACTTTATTAAATAGGAACAATTATGTAAATTGCTGCATCTCTGAAGAGAAAATGTACAGTAAAGCGAAAAACAATAACTAGTCCTGATCATTATTCTGCGAATACCCTCTACGAATAAAGAGGTCGATCGGGAGCAGGTAACCAATTTATTATTGTAAGTCAATTTGGAACACTAATGACTCTTTAATGATTATCATAGGGGACAAAAAAAAGCCTTAAACTTATTAGTATGAATAAGCTGGGTGATGAAGCGTTTGTCATCCAATGAGTAAGGAAGCCATAGAAGTGCTAACCGTACACTTGCATCCTTTGTATATTACTGATGCGTAATTTTGTGATAATATACACGTGCAACCAAGTTAGTTAGCGGTTGTTTTCTGATACTCAGTCAGTTGAAGTTTGAGAAAAGTTATAACTCGGTTGTTACACAGCCAACAAGTTAAGTTTTCTAAGCAGATATCAATTTGGTCATACCAGTCTATTGTTCATCCGATCACGCACAAATCAACCTAACATTTTAGTACATAAGGGTACATACACAACATCGAAAGTTATTCCACATTTGCTTGAAGTAAAAAATTGAAACAGGTATGGCAAATACTCACTTCAAGACCGATGATTGATAGTATAAGTTGGCGTAAACCCTTTCCATTTTCATGTAACAAACTGCTATTACACAGACCAGCGGTTTGATTAGTCACTTCAGTAATTTTAGGATCCGATGATGCTCGAGGTATGTTAGATAACATATGGGCGAACGGTAATTGTTCATTTGCTTGCAATATTGTAATACTTTCACCAACAGTATCCAAGCCTGCACGACCAGCGCGTCCAACCATTTGTTGATATTGAGTACCAGACAAAAATGAGCTGCCAATATAGGGTTTTCGTATGATTACTCTAAAATGAACAAAAGTTAATGTGTTCAAGGTTGCTGAGTTTTGTTTCACTCACTACTGAGTGTCTGGACTAGCATGAAAAGAGAGTAGAACAAAATATTGTATTTCCCATTTTTTAGTTAGTGAAATTAATGGAACTAGATTAGATTACCAGGAGTTGAGATTGATTCAAACAGCTTAGATTATATATTGATAGCCTCGGCACATCAAAAGGCTCTTTACAGAAGTATCGAATAATACAATAAATATATACATCCAAAAATTCAATATGCAGCTAGGTGAACAATTTCAAGGACAACACCAAATATAGTCGAATTTCCAACATAGGCTGAAGATGCTAGGGGAGTGTGAGTTAATATAGGGTCAGTAGAAGGAAGGGATAACGGGAGCCTAGGAAGTCACGGTGATAAGAAGAGATTCGAGCACTACTGAAAGTGTAATGACGGTCAAAAATTAGCGGCTTCTCAAATCGTGTAGAGTAATACTGCTCTTCAGCTATATGATTGAAACACTGCAGAACATCTTACATAAAGTGTTACGCTTTGTAACACCAATGAAACGAAACAAAAGTCGGGAAAAGGCATACAAATACAAAAAAGGATACCAGAGTAAAAATAACCACAACAAAATTGCTATGATTGAGAGTTTAGGACACCGAAACCCCATAACTACGTTAGGGATCAGTAAATCAGTATCCAAATATGAACTGGAATTATTGTGACAAGGTTCAAGTTGCCACACATTACCTCATATCAACACATCAAAGCAAAAGGCACTATGACGACAGGTACACAAATAAGGAGGAAAATAACCAAAACTGACAGGAAGTCGTCAAAACAGGGACAAAATGAATCAATCAATAGTGAAATGCAACATAACGTCTAGGATGAAAATAGCATGTGGGTGTGTCTGCGTCATTGAGGTCGATTCCCAGATGTATCATCTGGAGTCTTCAACCACCAATTTCGGCTGTCACACGAGTCCCAACCAAAATGAATACATTTACTTACATCAATAGCTAGAGGGTTCATGGACTGGCGTTATGCTTCATTCTGGCCGCCTGTAACATTTCGCCATCTTAATTCTAATTCGCCTAGAATTTCTAGACGTTGATTAGGGATATGTAGGATATCCTAACCATATGAGCTGGGAAGGATTTATAACTTCTTCAGCTGTCTGTCTTCCTCTACCTAGAAACACGCCTTACTGCTAGATTACCAATGAGTTGGTCCCGCGACACACGGGTACCGCCATGAAGGCAGCAATGATCGAACATCTGAAACATTCTTATGTCCTGCACTTTTAACAGTCATGGTTCACAGTCGTATGATAGAACGTAGAGAAGTGGAGTGCAGTCAGAAATCACAGTGACTCCATAAACGGTGCAGGTTAGCAGCGGCTAGTCGAATCTCTTCTATCCATGCTAAGTTCTCTTCAATTGCTGTCCCTACCAGGTTTGAATCAACTTCCTAGGTAAGTGGAGTGGTCAATTCACCCTACATTTCATTCCTGATTGCTACATGAGATTCAAGCACAATGTACTAAGAATTCTTCCGTGACAAGGTTTGTCCTTCCAATATCAGAGAAGTGGCATATATCCATGGACATGTCTATGACAAAGCTAAATAAAAATGGAGGGAGTTAACACTCTTGAAGAACACCAACCAATGAATAAACTCACACATAAGCTCTAGCATGACCATGGGTTTTCGAATGCATAGCATTCAATAAAATGATGTCCTTACCTGGCACACCCAGTGTGAAACACTGCTATAAGACCTCTCGACTGACAGAAGCAAATGTTCCCTTCATGTCATGAGATACAGTAAATGCCAATGTTCCACAATCTATCGCCGGGTAAATTTATGGCAAATATCCCTCTACCAGGTCTGAAACCAGGCTACTTATCACAGGTTAGCCTATTTATGAGCTGCAGTAAAACGTCTTATAATTTGAGGGACTAGAAATTTACACATGTTATATTTATTATATTTATTTGTCCCTTGGGTTCCTAGTGGAACATAGGGCTTCAGTAGCACGTCTCCATTCCACTCTGTTCGTTCTCTTCAAACTTTTGAACCTGGCTCCATGACTGCTCACAAGCTCTCATTTCTTCCTCACACCATCTCCTCCATGTCACCCTCGCCACGGACGCCCAACTCGTCGTTTCCCATCTGAGTTCCACTCGACGGCCTGGCCTGGCACGTGATGTCCCCAAATGGTCTTCTCAGTGCATGCCCAATTCATCTCCACTTCCTGCTGCATATTTGTTGAGCCATAGGTTCTTGGTTGGTTCTTTGCCAGCCAGAGTTCCTTGTCGCTTATTCTTTCTGGCCATCTGATCTGATCTTCAGTATCGAGTGAGCGTAGGTGACAGCTGTTGATGAGTGTCTGTAGTTTGTTGGAAAACCCTTTTGTAAAGCGCTAAGTTTCTGAATCCTCACAGAATGATTTCTCGACCTTCTTGTAGATGGAAACAATCAGTGATTGAGACTCAACAGAGGCGATATTATCTGATCTTTAAATAATAGCTAACACTAGCTAAGGAGAACAATGCTTATCCACCACCATCTTTGAGTATCTCTTATAATAATCCATGTAGGCCTGCTGACGCCACTCTTTACAATTTGCTAACAGCCTTCCCAACTTCTGCAAGAGTAGAAGGGCTTGTCTAAATATTCGAAGTTCAATCCGACTAGATAATAATAAACAGAACCATAGGTAGTGGTCAGTTGCACTATTCCGCCGATCGCTCCAGTCGTCTATCCATTGGGTGAATCATAAATATATTCCTCTCCAACATAATTTCAGCAAGCAGTGGATTTTTTGCACCAGTTGCCTTGACCAGACAAAACAGCTGTCTACCATTGCCTTACATTACTGCATTTCTCATCTCACTAGTCTTTGCGCCACCACTCGTCGCGATTATAGCATATACAGAGAGAGAGAGAGAGAGAGAGAGAGAGAGAGAGAGAGGGAGGGAGAGAGAGAGAGAGGAATCCACGCAGAATCTCGCACACAAATCCAACGGTTCAGGTTGCCACACTTCACAGTAGTACACAAAGAACAGGTAGATAAAATAGAGTTATGTCAAAGTAGACAAGGTTGTATGAGAGAATGAACGATTTGAAGATAACGGTTAGTGGAAATATTCAAGCTTTAGAAGACGTCAGAGAGTAAATATATCTGCGCCATCGCGATCGAACCTCAGCCATATCATGGAGTCCTCACCTCGTCTCGGGGGCCCGAACTAGACAGCTCAGACCAACAGTCACAGACTCCATTAACTTAGTGTCAGATCTTGGTTTGGCCGCCATGAATCTTCTTACAACATCCTAAAGGAGTTGCGGTGGATCGGTATGCACAACACACGTCCAAGCTACCACAGTCGATAAAGGTTAACAACCTCACCGGCTGACTTACGTTTCTTGCCTATTACCTATTACCCTTCGCCTGACCTCAACATTCCTCACACGCTGATTCCACCAAACACGAGCAATGCTACAAAGACACCCATGATCAATGCTTCGTGACTGCTTCACGTCGTCTACTTTCAAAGGCCATGTCTCACAGCCGTATAACAGGACAGAGCAGACTGCAGTGCACTATACTTCTCCTTCCATAGACAGTTGCATATCTTGTCATTCGGCGCCAAAGGTGATGCAAGTTGGTAAATGCCGAGTGGACCTCACGTATTTGAGCCGAGATTTCGTTAACAACCAGCTCGTTTGGGCTGATACAACTACTCAAGTAAGGGAAGTGGTCGACACATTTTAACACTTCACTTCACTTCTTATCATCATACCGAGAGTATTTGAAGCAGATCAGTCCTGAAGTGTCATCCAACATTTGACAGGTACCAGAGAAACGCATGCCGAACATACTCAGATTTCTCCTCAACGCGTTCACAAGACCTTGCAATTTTGTCAGTGTCTTCTCCTATCAAGCAATATCGTCTGCATACTCCAAGTCAATCAGATGCCTGCTCTCCAGAGAGTAGATCAATCCCTGTGAAGTCACACGTACCTAAGGTCATGTCTATTAGTACGAAGTTGAATAGGAACGGTGACAGTGGACATCCCTGGCGAATAGCACCAGCTGTCGTCAATCCACATGACAACTCTCTATAAGCCATTGCGTCACACGGCTGCGTGAGTTCCAGTAGAGAGCTTTGATAAGTGTTATATACCTTGTCGGTACTCCCTTCACAGTCACACTTTCTCGCCTTTGTTTTAGACTAGGATGATCAATAAATTAGATTAGTATGACAGGACTATGTATGATATCCATTTACTTCTGAGTGTATCCGTAACTTTAATCAGCAATTCCGTACCTCTATCCTTGAAAACGTCGGGTGGCAAACTGTCAGTTCCTGTTTGTTTACATCGTTTCAGATTTGTCACAGCCTTCTCAACTTTAAGAAGAATTGGAGGACCGACATCTACATCCTATTCAGGCTTGGACATGTGTTGTGCATACTGAACCACCGCAACCCTATAGGATGTTGGAAGAGGATTCATGGTGGCCAGACCAAGATCTAACACCAAGTCTATGAAGTCTCTGACTGTTAATCTGAGTCGTATGACGAGATGTAGACTGTTTGGTTGGGGCTGCCGAAACGAAAGAAATCAGTGATTGAGGACTCTCGGTGATATGGCTTAGATTTGATCGCGATGGCGCAGATATATTTACTCTCTGACGTCTTCTAAAGCTTGAATATTTCCACTAACCGTTATCTTCAAATCGTTCATTCTCTCATACAACCTTGTCTACTTTGACATAACTCTATTTTATCTACCTGTTCTTTGTGTACTGCTGTGAAGTGTGGCAACCTGAACCGTTGGATTTGTGTGCGAGATTCTACGTTAATTTTGTGTGTTAGCCAGTAGTAATTTACACTACAACAGTAACTGTTTTTCGTCTTACAACTGTCCAAAAGAATTTTCTGGTATTGTATGACCTCAGGAGAACAAGCATTTCAGCTAGTGTGGCTTGTTGGATTATTGTGATATGGAAGGCCAATCATCACGTTTAGGTGACAGCTATCAGTCAGGGCTATCGTATACACAATGTTAGTTCACATTTAGGTTGCTGCCGCCGTATATTGTACTCAGAGTGTACAAGAATGTGTTCTTCTACATCCAGTAATTCAGAAGCTGCTACGATCTAGTGGCTCTTTCATCTTTTTTATACGGGTCAATTTCAATCATTACTGTGGCCTTCTGCTTGAATTAGCCTACCCACTTATACATTGAAAACACCTGCTAAAACAGCCATATCTGAACGTCTTCGTTTCAGTACGTGACTAAATAGCTTTCGGCCGAACTCATCTTCCATTTTACCCAAACTGTAGTCAGTGGGCATATGTTTCATTATCTTGGTCCTCACTGCACCATTCAGTTGAGAATCGCATAGGCAACTGTCAAGAATAACCCAGTTGAGAAGTACACTTTCCGCCTTAGGATTTAGTGCTATGCATACGCCTGCAAGACTATGAAAATTAGGAGAGGGATCTTTGGGAAGTCGAGAATTGAATTTCGCACATACACCACATTTGTCAGATGAGGTTAGGCGAATGACTACACCAAGATCCCGCATACGTGTCTCACAAATGCAACACACACGTATGCTCTGAGATGGCAGTTTTTGCCTGGTGAGGAATGCGGACATTGGGAGCTGCGATATGTAAGTCGGAGTGTTGTTAGAAATACTATTTTGTGCACTCAAATTATCACCAAAGGCTTCAGAGCCAGAAGAAATTAAACAGAGGCGATGGCTAAGAATAATAATGAACTGATGGAATTGAAATATAAACTAAATGAGTTGGATGAGAAAATATGAATTGAATACGTTGAAGCTGTTAGAATACGCCAGGACCAACTTAGAATAATGTAGACTTTTAACCTATGATGTACACGTATCGAAAACCATGTTGTTGACCAGTAAACAACATATGTTCCACGAAATAAACCCTTCGTAAGGGAAATATAACGAAATCATAGCCATTTTTTAAATCATCTATACGAGAGCTATGAGGAGTTCGTTAAAATTGTTGAAAATGGTGAATGCATTGGTTGAGATATTATTCAACCACTCGATACCAATAAACAAAAATACGTCATATCAACTTGTATAAGAAAGACATTTAAAATAGGTTGAGAAGAGAATAGTTTACACTACTATTTAACTACCTTCTAGCGGGCAGATTAACACCAGCAGCCAATGTAGACGTGCAACACAGAACTCGGATAACTCCTTCATTATAAGCTGTTTCCAATGCAATCCTCTCTTCTTGAGTAAGTCCGCTATGATGATAGGCAATTCCCTTAGGAATTGTGTATTCTAACACTGGACAATGTGCTTGAACTTTACACTTGGGATCATTTGCATTAACATTTTCGACCACATTATCAAGGCGTAAATTCTCCAATAGTAATAATCTCTGCTCAACAATACCCTTTTCCATTGTGTAGTCTTCATCATTAGAATGAGGGAAACATGCCGCCAAGGGTAGAAATTCTGCTAACATTTTGGCTGTATTTTCACAATGCACTTTAGTTGGACAAAATACTAAACAAGAAAATCTTTCTTTTGACGATCGGTTAAATGATGGATGGAACAGTCGACTACTACACCAATCATTCATTGAATGACCGAGTAGAGTTTCTGCCACCAGTGCAACTAAGTGATCTGGATCTTGAAAAAGCATTTTTTTGGTATACTGAAGTTAAGTGTAAATGGTGGAACATTTTAGCGTAATTAATTGTTCAACGGAAATGTTTTAACAAAAAAGAACAAAAATACACAGATATAAAGCATAATAAATGATGATACAGAAACTTTCGTGTCAAACTAGTTCAATAATTCCTTAGCAAACTAGTTACATGATTATTATCAAGAAGTCTTGAATATTGCCAATAACCAATACGCAATTTGACGTTCATGTAACATTGCTAATGAAATAAAATTCCCAGATAAAAATCACTTTAAATTAACCTGAGGATAAATCGGTTTGAAATGAATGAAAACTGCTTGAGTTGGTAAATAGTACTCCTAATTTTGGCACTACACAACAAACATAGTGTAAAATGCTCGACTAATTGCCTTACCATAATCCATATACTATGCAACAAACGATGGGAAGAAAACAACCCATCTTGACCACCAGGATAAACAATATTCACAGGAAATACGCTCAACTTCGTCCACTAAAATAGTGTTATGCCTGCAACAAGTTTAATTCGACAGAAGTGTCTTAGAAGTTTATTGAACTAAAATGGAAATATTCTATTGGCAAAGTAAAGTTTACATATGATATCAAGAGCAAATGATTTGTTGAAACATTGTATGTGTATGTAATTCAATCAGATGCTTTGTAATCGTGATTATCAATATCGTCTATAATTTGATAATGTTCATAAAATCTGTTTCGTGCTACTTATAAGCGGTTTTACTCACTATTAAGCAAGACATAAACACGCTGATGGACACCGATATCTTTCTGCAGTCCTTCCTTCCTTACTGACCCACCAACTGGAGTCAGGAGGAAGTGAAGAGTGTTGTAGTTAAATCGAAATGTTTAACTTACTACTGAAAGTCGAGCTTTATCTTATGATTGTCGGTCACAGTGAATTCACTGAACACGTGAGAAAGGTACACCAGACAGAGAGGCATTTAAATGGTACTTTTAGGTAATTCTAGTTAAGGAAATCAATGACGATGACCACATTATACAATTATGTTCAGATCACTATTTCTAACCAGGAGTAATTTTAGATACAGAGGAGAACGTTTCCTGAGCTGGGAACCACAGACATCGACTCAGTATTGCATATAGACCACGTCGCTATCAATTGCTGACGGAGGATTGATACTTCTTTTGAAACACGTGCATGGATCAAGAAAATGCGCAAGACTCATCACATATGCATCTGCACCTTAATGAATGCGGAAAAATTAAAAACTAATGAGTGCATAGACGTGTGATACAGCAACTTCCAGCAGGAACAACAAGAAGAAAGCGGATGCAGTTGAAATGTAAACTGCTTACTTGACTGAGCGAGGAGCCTTACGAGTAATGACAAGTCAACGTTGAAGAGACGCAAAATGAGTAACAACAGGCAGCAACAGAGATTTAGACGTATACAATAAATAGGGAGCAAATTTCGGTGGTCGCTGGGATTATAGCGGAAATAAACGTATGAAATCTGATTTTTTTTAAACAACGAGAAAAGTGGGGGAAATACCTGGTGGGACAGTGAAACCAGTCACCTGCTACTCAAAGGTGGCCCTCCTCCCCTGTTGAAACCGCGATATAACAATGCCACAAAGCCACTAACATTTCCGATGTACAGGGGGATAACAATAAAGTGAAATGACCATTGCTGCGAAGGCAATAGTGGTAGAACATCTGAAATCTTCTGATGTTTCGCACTTTTAACAGCCATATAGAAGAGGGGACCGCAACACAGTACGCTTAACCTTTAATGGGTAACCAAGTATCTCAACGCCAGAATCGATCGGTGTTGGTTTGCAACATCCAGTGCAGTCTCTCCTATCTATCCGTGCTGAGATTTAATCGGTTGATGACCCTATCTGGTGTGACCTAAATTATAAGGTACGTGAAGTGATCAATGCGCTCAACCAGTTCATTCCGGTATGTTAGATAAGGCTCAAAAATAGATCAGTCCTGGAGTAACGACTTGTATATGGATGGTGAGAAACGGATCTCAATCATTCTCATAGAGTTGCAGATCCATCTTTCTCCGCTGTGGTCCCACTAATCTTCAAATTTTCAAACCAATTTTCTTGACAACTTTAAACAACTGCCTATCATCGTCGGTTTCTATTTCATAATCTCCCACTGCTAACAATCGACCACGGTCATTACGCAGACACTACATTTGAGCTGCTTAAGTTGGCCACTGAACTCGGATCTTACAGAATTGTCTTCATATGCATTCACTGGTTCGGAAGATGCTAGTGAAATCCACATACATCTTTAGGTACCAGTAAAAGAAAGTTGGTTTGCAGGGGTGGTTTTAACGATCTAGGTGCGTAACTGAAGAGCCAAAAAGACATCTCATCGGAACCTGTGCACATGGTATTTTCGGAACTGATTGTGCTTCGTTTACATCTTTCTTATAAGATCATCCGCGGGAAAACACCTTACTGCTGTCAAACACTGTACAATCAGCAGTAAAACTTCGCCCATGAACAACCCACCACCGCCCACCCTACTGTACGGTGTTCATACTACGAAGGCAACTGTTTTCTATGAAATCACAATCCAACAGAAATTCCTGGAATAGTAGACTGACAAGGAAACCAAGCGTTTCAGCCGTTGTGATATGCGTGGTCGATTGGTGCCTGGAAGTAGCAACTTAGGTAATGGGAAAATATGGTGAAATTATAGAACTGTCTGTCGTGAAAATATACAGAAATGTATCCGGTGAAGCTTGCAAAGACGTACGAAATAGGGTGAAGAAGAAATCGAAATGAAACTTTTCGTGAAGAAAGTTAGAAACTAACCTGAAAGTTTACTGTACGGCGATGAATAAGTCTATCGGCAAAACTGTTTTCTTCACATGAACAATGAGTACTTTTGCTTGATGTAATCTCATAAAGATGATCACCAACTTTCGCATATTCAATTAGCTTGACAGGACGAAAATTGTTGACATACAATTCTGCATTTAGAAAGTTCGTCAGTTCTAAGATGTTAGCGAGCGTCGCACTCATACCAATAATACGAGTAGTAGCTAATGAAGAAGAAATAAAAGATAAAACATTTTGCCATGATAAAAATTCAACTTTCAGTGAAAAGTACGTGTGTTATACAATCATAAGGCAGGATTCAATTATCACTGAACTAAAAGTTGCACATAGATAATTTCGAAAATTATAAATTCAAGAGTATAGTGAATCTTCAAGCTCTGTAATACTGCAACTAGCAAGTTTTCTTTTCCAGTGACTCGTTCATGTAAATATTATGCAGCTATGGGGAACATGTAAAAAAATTCTACAGCGAGAAATCTTTAAGTCAAAACTTAGTATTAAGTCACACAAACAGACGCTTAGAGAAACTCATTTCTCCAGAGAATCGTTCAGTGTAAAAATTGGAATTTGTAAAATATACCCATCAGGATATGAAAGAAGAACAAGTATTTCAGCTAAGAGCCACTTTTGGCGATTTCATTTTCAAAGCTGTACAATCGCGAATTTATACATTTTTCCAGTGTAAGGATTGGATAGTTAAATAGGGTTTGTCAAGCATAGCAATACAAATAGTGTTAATCAAAGAGCTGTCATTAAAATAAAAAAAACCAAAAACTGAGTGGTGAATATTAATCAAAATAAGTTTGGACAAGAAGTTTTGTAACATGGTGACATAGAAACTGAATTGTGATCAGGCAGAGAATAGGAACAAGAATGAGTAGCAAATTACTTAAGGAGTGAATAATGTTAAAATAGAAAAATGAGAAGAAAAGGGGGAGGGGGGGGAGAGGAGATTTCAAGGACTGAAAACTAAGATCATGAAAGGAGAAGGAGTTGAACAATCTTCTTGTGTATACACAGTTCAGGCTTCTTCATTCGGATGGCAAGAGCTTCGGCGATGCAGAGAATACGAAGACATACAGCCTTTGGGTTTTTTTTCACTTTATAAATGACTTTAAACGAAGTTTTTGAGATAGCGTGATTCGTGTTCATGATGTGTTCAATTATAGAGCTCCTTATCGCTCTATTGTTACCTTTTTATAACCACGCGGGATAGTGCTCTTGAAACCTTTTGGATAACAGTCGCATCGAAAGACCTATACAACTGGCCCCACAAGAGCAGGTGAATTGGTATATGTACATAGAGGTGGTCAGATGTGAAAGTTTCTCTTTTGAGTTGATAGAAATCGTTGGGTGACTAAATAATACTGGTCTCAGGGTTGTTGCAAGGAATGTTCTCCTTTTTACAGTGTTAGTAGCAGAATCATCTTTGAAGTTTAGATTCATATGGAGTGTCTTTTTGGCACGGTGGTAAGGTTCTCTTTCCGAGGTTTAGGCTTAATGTTTTTGTCTATGAAGCGTGGCGGGAATCCGTCTTCGGTCAGGATGTTCTTTAGAACAGAAATCTCCTCTTCTAATATGTCGGGACTGCAGATTCGTCTAATGCGAGTGACAAGGCATATGACCGGATTTCACTTACAACTCATATGGCCCCAGCTATTTAAGTTCGTCAGTTGACCATCCCACATAGGTTTTCTATGAATTTATCTACTTCCATCAGCTTTAGAACTGACAAGAATAGCTGATGGTTACAATTGCTTCCAGCAGATATGTTGAGAAACTGGTATCATCAGTTCACCCAGATGGCAGTTAAAAATATGAGAAATATACCCTCCTTTCTAAGAAAACTACTTATGAGTTCGCAATACAGTCCAAAAACATACAAGTATACTTAACCGATAAGCTTTTCAGAAACTGCGTACCTGGTAGGATGAAATAACGAGCAACTGTCTTCATTTGTTGTCTCCAAAGTTAATCTTTGAGATCCACGACTGCTTATTTTAAATGCACACAATTTTCATCTTTCTATACTTCAAAATGTTTTTAGAGCAACGCACAGTAAAATCCGAAGTAGAAGCCAAGTACCACTAAGTCATTGTGCTTTGATAATCGAAATACGGAGTCCTAGTCATTGCTTTAATAACCACCCATTGACATCCTACTCTGAATAAACCATGAGAAACAAATTTTCTATTCATTATGATTCAGTAATGTTTGCAACATCCTAAAACAGTAGATAGCAATACCCACGAGAAAACTACCTGAGCTCCTTGTATGATAATTACCGATGAATCAGAAAAAAAAACGCAAAATCACAAGACTGAGCGTAAAATGACATCGATGAATGGTTACTAGATAGTGCTGAACAAAGATGGTGGGTAGTACTTTGTGGTACACTACTTAGGGATTATAGCTCTATAACCTGGTGCAGTAACAATGCAGAAATTAGCTATTGATACAACTTCGTTGGTGAAAGGTTGTTATGCAAAGCAGCGACTGGATTTACAATCCTTCGGTCGCAAACGAAGTAGATAGGGCAATCAGGGACAAGTGAAAGAAAACCTTAACTTGGTTCATTAGTTCAGTATCCTATAATTTACATAAAGATAAAGGTAAATAGTATAGCTAAGCAAGTTTCTATGTGAATAAGGCGTAAAAAAAATACATTTTCACACAGACAAATAGAAAAGATAAACCTACGAGAAGCCAAATGCAATTTTGTAAGGATCATTTCCAAGCATGCACCACGAGGTCCACCATCGCCAATCATATGTAACTAAAAAACAAATAAATTAATTAACAATATTCGACAATATTAGGTTTTCATCAACAGACTATTGCATCTAGTGCAGAACTCACTCGTTACTGACAATTCCACGCAGTTGCTTGACATTGACCGACTCACAGCTATACTGGCACTTCTGTAGTTTCAACGCTTAGTACTACTTTTCACTTCAAAAAGTTATCTGTAAAAGCTCCAAGACCCCTTAGCACTGGGGTTATTTTAGTGGTCGAGAAAATGATGCGAACATATTTAATAGTTTTCATTCCAAAAAGGTAAAATACCTTCAGTCAGTTGGAAGTGCTACAAACTATTTCCCAATACAAAATTCCATCATCAACATTGTTTATCCACTATTCAATCCACATAACTGAACCACGGGAACTTTTCCAAACTAAAAATGTATGACACTGAAAAGCCTTTGTGTCCAACAGTGAGTGGACCATCATTTACATCGGGAAGTTAACATTCCTCTCAAACTAAATGTTATGATGCGGAGTTATGAGAACAAACGAAAATACTTAACGATTGATAGTCGAGGGTTAAAACTATTCAACCCGAGTGATTTACAAGAGAAATCAAAAGACTGGAAATCAAATGAGTTTATAGTATCTCGGACTGAAGACGTTCATTAATGAAAACGGACCCTATTTTAAGGGTTCACAGTAACCTTGAAAGGCAAGGAATAACTAGTACATTTAAAGAGGCAGAAGCCAACCAGAACATTAGCAGGTCATGCGAAATATCACTCAAGCGCGGGAAAAGAGCACAAGTAAAACAGTTTAAATATATCCAAACTGTAAGTACGGAAATATGAGGGATGTAGGCATCCCTAACAATAAACAACCAAACTAGTGCCGACTCAAAGATATTGACTAGGTCCTTCGCTTATCTTCAAATTTGTCAGTAGTGAAAGCGATCTTGAGATTTCCCAGGTGCATAACTCACATAGTTAACATTTATGATAGACACCTAACGAAATTCAACTAGTAAAAAACCAGAAGTTTCAAATTCAACTTCAACAAGCGATCGGGTTTGGTACTGTGTTCATGAGCTCGGTGTTATAGAGAGAAAACAGTTCAATGGCTGAGAACACATAAAGCTCATTCGTCAGACGCATTGCTTTTAAGATTTTTAATGAAAGTCTGATAGTAGTTTCACTTGATGCGTAGGAATAATAATAATAATAAAACAGTGTTGAAATGATGGAGAATATTTGTAGCTCAAGTGGATAGTCTTCGTTGTATTGTGTTCTCTGAGCTGAAGTTAGTGCTGATGATGTCGTCTAGCAAGGCGATGAAAGCTTAACGATTAAACAATCCAGCTCAGAGAACACAATACAACCAATAAAACAGTATATTTATTTAGAGAATGCAGTAAAAGCAATACATTTTGTCGTACCTCATCCACAATGACCAGTCCTAAAGTAGCCAATGACTTTGTATCGATCAAAGAATTAACAATTGTATGTGCTTTCTCAATGGTAGCCAGTAAAACGGAATATGATCCTTTGCGTTTAACTGGAGGGATTCTACCACGACTACCAGCATATTCCTCGACCCAGAAACCAAGTTCCAAACCCATTGGAGTAAGTGATCGCACCTGTAACATGAGGTATACCAGTAAGATTTACTGGACATCAGAAAGATTGCAGATATTTTATAAATTTTTCCATATATGCATACCACATAAACAGCACAAATTGAATGTTTTGGGCTATACAGTCCGAGAAAAAGATAGTAGACATTTTTTAGAAGCTCACACATAACTAGTCAAACGATTTCAGCTATATACTAGTTTTCCGTACAAAGGTGACTCTCATAGTGCAATCCTTAAACAGACTTAACGCTGCTACTAGAAGGACTTACTATGAACCCAGGGTTCGAGCAATAGAAAGTACGAAGCCCGTATATTCTCCCGAACCCCCACAGCATGTGAACGACAACGTCACATCCCACTGTAACTACCAATTCAAACGTACGTGTGGTGACACATACATAGGGACGACTCATAGATCCATGCAAGTAAGGGCTTCGGAACATATTCCAAAGTGGCTTCAAAAGCAAATTAAAACATCTGAACCCATAAATGCTGGTAGCAGCTGTCCAATTTTTTCGATCGCCAAACAAATCGTTGAGACAGGCCACAGGATTGATGTGGCTACTTCCTTTACACCTATTTACAAAACATGTTGGGTAGGGATCCTTAAATTTGTTGAGGCCTTAGCTATTAAAAAGTTGAAACTACCTTTGTGTGTTCATAAACAATTTGTCGTCACATTAAATCTTCCTTGATAAATTCAACTATTGAAAACCAAGTTCGATGTACTATTATTTTTCGCTTCATTGATTTTCATTGTTATTCGGCTTTTAATTCAGCCTTCCTACCTGACGTCTTTTTGAATTTTGAGGGAGTTGTGGGGATTTGGAAATATTTCAAGTTGTTATTCATCATAGACTGACATCAGTTGGAAGAACAAAGGAAACCTGGGAGCACTAGACAGCTGTTCCGTCCTAGTGTGGGACTCTTCAGCAGTGCGCACCCACGACCCCACCAGGGACCGAACCCGCGGTACCATTCAGCCACTGGGTCAGAATTCAATGGCCCATATTTCCAACTTCGGTCTCTGGTGGGGTCGTAGGTGCACACTGTTGAGGGGTCCCGTGCTAGGACGAAACAGCTGTCAAGTGCTCCCAGGTTTCCTTTGTTCCTCCGACTGGTGTCAGTCTACGATGAATAACAACTTGACCTCTTTTTATTTTCTCACCCCTTATCTTCATAAATTTTTATATAAATACCTATGACAAGTACATGTGTGATCAGATAGTTCGAAATGTGTTGCGCACATACATTACACAGTCCAGACAATTTACATCTTCTTATTGTTTTGTCAAAGTTTATATGTTAGTCAAAATCTCATCCTCCGTGTCGATCAAGAGTACTTAGTGCATCTACCAGTCATGTCACTGCAGGAACATTTGGGAGAAGGCAACATTTTGGATGCTTATGACACCCATTAAGAGAGCGGGTATATATATATATACAAAGGGAATTTTTGATTTCTGCAACAGCTAAGTCATAGAAAACATAGGTAAAAAAAGACGAAAAACACAACACATTAGCGGAATGATTTATTTGGAAGACTTCGAAATACCACATAAGAGTAGAATCGCCAAGGGGAATAAGATAGTAAGAAGACTATGGAGGGATACGATGAAGAAATACGTTTAGAATGATAAGATGTATCAGCTTGATATACATCAATTTCCAGTAACGTTACTTGAGAATTTCAATAACTAATTACTTCGTAACTCGTGGATATCAGCCAACAAATCTGAAGTTTCTTGTACCAATCAAGAGGTTACTAACTTCCCAACCGATAGCTACTACCTTCACGTGGTGGTTGGGTTTGCACATCATAATGAATTTACGAGCTACACTAGCTGGAACGCTTGTTAACCCAAGGTCCCACCACATTACAAACGTCTGCTGGATGGTGGTAGAACAAAACCAGCTAGTTATACCATAAATTGTCACGCTATGATGGGGGTATCAGACGACGAAGTCGTACTGCGGGCACGATCGGGGCATGGCAGCAATAAGATGTTTCCCTTGGATGGCCAACAGTGCCACGCTGATGCTACCTTCCATATGGGAACGGTGGTTAATCATCATCATCTTGATAAATATCAACATATGACCAGGCATTACTGATTGACGGTCCAAGTTGCCATACCTCACATCAGCACATCAATTAACAAAGTAATAAGATGAAAAATGAAGAAACAGAGAAAAGTTGGTCAAAAGCAGTGGAAAGTAGTAAACGAGAGGTAGGAAGAATGAGAACAGGCTGAATTCAGTATAGTGGTTGACATGAAGATAAAGTATGAATTCATCTGAGGCACTGAAATCCATTGCAAGCCATATCACCTAGTCTTCAACCACTGGTTTCGGTCGTCACATGGACCCCAACCGATTAGTCTGAATCTTCCTACATGCCTAAGTCCAACATTCGAAGACTGTATTCAGTGATGCCACCCCGAGCCCATTTTCAGAGTAAACCTATTTCAACCAAGAATGCAGACGGTGGCCAGGTATGCGTAACACATGTTCCAGCGGTCCGGGTTGATGAAGGTTCACAACACCATACACTGACTTTCTTCTCCTCACTAAAACTCTACACCTGGCTTCTGCACTACTGACGTGGGGACACCAGGAAACATGGCGTTTCATGCAAAGGCAACGGTGGTCAAAAATCTAAAGCCTTTTTGTCTTCTTCCTATAATGATCAAGGTCTACAGCCATGCAGTAGAACACTGCGAAATGAAACAGAGTACGCGCGATTTTTAGTAGAAAATCAAATATCACGAGCAGCGCAACAGATGGCGTAGTTTGGCGGAAGGCAGTCAAGCTTTTTGTAACCGTATTGAGGTTTTGTCGGTCGCCCGTCTACCAGGGCCGACATGACTTCCAGACAAGGGAAGCGTTCAACACACTCAACCACTTCACTCTTCATTGTTAGTCGGAGCATCCGAGAAGACCAGTATTGGATCAACAATTTGCATCTGGGCGGGGAGAAACACATCCTGAACATTTTCAAATTGCCACTCAAAGTGCTAGAAGACTTTGCATCTTGACAGACAGACAAAGTCAACGTAGAACCTCACACACAAATCCAACGGTTCAGGTTGCCACACTTCACAGTAGTACACAAAGAACAGGTAGATAAAATAGAGTTATGTCAAAGTAGACAAGGTTGTATGAGAGAATGAACGATTTGAAGATAACGGTTAGTGGAAATATTCAAGCTTTAGAAGACGTCAGAGAGTAAATATATCTGCGCCATCGCGATCGAACCTCAGCCATATCATGGAGTCCTCACCTCGTCTCGGGGGCCCGAACTAGACAGCTCAGACCAACAGTCACAGACTCCATTAACTTAGTGTCAGATCTTGGTTTGGCCGCCATGAATCTTCTTACAACATCCTAAAGGAGTTGCGGTGGATCGGTATGCACAACACACGTCCAAGCTACCACAGTCGATAAAGGTTAACAACCTCACCGGCTGACTTACGTTTCTTGCCTATTACCTATTACCCTTCGCCTGACCTCAACATTCCTCACACGCTGATTCCACCAAACACGAGCAATGCTACAAAGACACCCATGATCAATGCTTCGTGACTGCTTCACGTCGTCTACTTTCAAAGGCCATGTCTCACAGCCGTATAACAGGACAGAGCAGACTGCAGTGCACTATACTTCTCCTTCCATAGACAGTTGCATATCTTGTCATTCGGCGCCAAAGGTGATGCAAGTTGGTAAATGCCGAGTGGACCTCACGTATTTGAGCCGAGATTTCGTTAACAACCAGCTCGTTTGGGCTGATACAACTACTCAAGTAAGGGAAGTGGTCGACACATTTTAACACTTCACTTCACTTCTTATCATCATACCGAGAGTATTTGAAGCAGATCAGTCCTGAAGTGTCATCCAACATTTGACAGGTACCAGAGAAACGCATGCCGAACATACTCAGATTTCTCCTCAACGCGTTCACAAGACCTTGCAATTTTGTCAGTGTCTTCTCCTATCAAGCAATATCGTCTGCATACTCCAAGTCAATCAGATGCCTGCTCTCCAGAGAGTAGATCAATCCCTGTGAAGTCACACGTACCTAAGGTCATGTCTATTAGTACGAAGTTGAATAGGAACGGTGACAGTGGACATCCCTGGCGAATAGCACCAGCTGTCGTCAATCCACATGACAACTCTCTATAAGCCATTGCGTCACACGGCTGCGTGAGTTCCAGTAGAGAGCTTTGATAAGTGTTATATACCTTGTCGGTACTCCCTTCATAGGCAAACACTACCACAACACCACACGGTCGATTGAATCAAATGCCGTGTTCAGGTCAAGAAATTTGACGAGTTTCGGTCGCTGGCAAGTGTTGCTGTATTCCAGAACTTTTCGGAGGATGAAAATATGATGGATGAGCCCTCGAGCAGCTCTGCCTGAAACCTGCTTGATTTTCTCGAGTTTTCTGTTCTCGAGCTCCAGTTAGGCATCGGATAACTATGGACCCCAGGATATTGCACAGTACATTGATCAAATTGATTCCACTACGATTGTCATATGAAGGCTTCTCTCTCTTCTAAAAGATTGGGATGATTAGTTGAGTACACCAGTCTGACGGCATTACCTGATTCCTGTACATCACTTATTACTTCCATTACTTTATTCATCGACGTCCTACCTCCATCTTTGAAAACGTCGTGTGGTGAACTGTCAGGTCTTTTTGCTTTACATCGTTTCAGGTTCGCCACAGCCTACTCAACTTCAAGAAGAGCTGAAAGACCAATGTCTACATCCCACTCAGGTTCCCGCTGGATGTTGGAAAACCGAAGCGTTGGTGTGGGTGAGTTGAAATGAGTTTTAAAATGTTCTGCCCGACGTTCTAGCCGCCTGTCCTGAGTCATTATGAGCGTCCTATCCTTTTCAGTGATTTCAATGGTCATCGTCTTCTTCTTCCCGGTATTCTTAGTAGGCCTAAATAGTTGCCGAATGCTAACCAATGCTGAGACTTTTTCGATCTCTTTCA